AAAAATTATATTATTTTTAAATAAAAAATTAATCATTTTGTCTAATTAGCGAATTTTTTTTTTAAGATAATATATTTTTTAATTATAAATTAGTGTACAAAACAAAAATATTATAATCACTTAATGTTATTAAAGGTAAAAAAACAAAATTGAAATTTATTAGATAAATATTAATTAAAAAATATGACCAAAAAGTTAAAAAATTAAAATAGATAAATTTGTCAATAAAATTAAAAAAATTTCAATCCATTAGCGATTTAATACAAAAAGTTATATAAACTAATTTTTTCAATCCGTTAGTGGTTTAAACCCTAACCACTAACCACTATCCGTTAATCTTAAACTGTTAAATAAAAATTTTACGCAATACCTTATTTTTAGCGGTTTCGAAATATATATAAGTTTACCAAAACATTTATATTTAGCGGTTTACGTAAAACCGCTAATCGTTAACTGTTACTTTAAAACTGTTATACTAAACAAGCCCTAAGTCTAAAAAAAGATTACAAAACTAAAATGTCCAAACTCCAAAAATAAGTGTCTTACGTAATGATACTTTTCAACTCATGAAAGCTCTTACTCACGTTATTTATTTAAATTAAGTCAATAAATTAACATTTGGTTTAGGTATATCTATATTACTTTTAAGTATATCTTCATTTGGTTTTAACATATACTTGAGATGCCTAGTTAATATTTGTTTTCTTATCACAAATTTTAGGTTGATTTTCATCAAATTCTTTAACTTTTAAGATTCTAAAGGAGGGAGAGGTACTAAAATTAAAGAAACACAAATATCATGCTATGCTATTGTAAAAATTTAAGAGTAAGATGTGGAGCAAAACTTTGAACCTATAAAGGTGAAAAAAATAGAATAATCCATATACAACTCTAGAGCAAATGGAAAGAACAAAAAAAATTTCTTTGTTTGCATTTAAAAGCAATCCATATATATATATATATATGTATTTTCTATGTGTTCAAATTCTCAATTTTAGTCTTTTTTTTAAATTTTTTTATAACACAGTGGTAATTAATATAATTTTTTTTCAAAATATTAACAAAATAAATCTATATCTATTTATCTATATCTATGTGTATTTATCTATATTTATCTATCTATATATGTATAAAATGCTACCCTATGCATTAAATAGGGTATGCATTCATATATATATAAAATATAAAATATTATAGTTAATAATTACTTAAAAGAAAGAAAGAAAGAAAGAGATACATTAAAAGGAAGTAACATGCATTTTTATTATTATTTTCTATTACATGCATATTAATTCAAAAAAGAAATAAAGATGTGTCTTTTCATTTTCTTAGTCATGTAAAGACCCAATTAAACTTTAATGTACACATAAAACTTTTCACATTCAACAATTATTCATTAAAATATTATATTTAAATTTTAGAATTAAATCCAAATAAAGTATTTTTAACAACTAAAACTCTTAAACTTTCTTCTCTAAACCTATAAAAGACTACAAAACTAAAATCTCTAAGCTCCAAGAGTAAGTGTCTTGGTCGATAGTGTTTTTTAACTCATAGAAGGTCTCACTCATGTTATTCATCTAAATCAAGTCAATAAACTAACATTTGATTTATGTATATCTATATCACTTTTAAGTATAACTTCATTTAGTTTTGATATATGCTTGAGATGCCTAACTAACATTTATTTTCTTATCACAAAATTTAAGTTGATTTTTCATCATATTTTTACTAATTTTAAATATTCTAAAGGAAAGAAAGGCCCAAAATTAATGAATCACAAATATCCTGCTATGTTATTGCAAAAACTTAGGGGTAAGATATGAAGTAAAACTTTAGACAGACGATAAATATAACACATAATGAATAACACAAAAGTAGATGGCAAGTACAAAAAAAAGTTTTTATTTTATTTTTAAAAACAATCCATATTTTGTTTTTCGATGTATATGTTTATTATGCTAAAATTATTTATAGTCTTTTTTTTTTTATTTTCTTTAAAAATAGTGGTAACTAATATAGTTTTTTTTAAAAAAAAAATATATGAAGAGAATAAATATATATCTATATATCTATTTATATCTATATTTATCTACCTATCTATAAATCAATCAATTAATCAATCATCAATCAATCAATATACAATATAAAATGCTACCTCAAGTATTAATTAAACACTAATTTTGTCATTTTATTTTAATTATAAAAAAAATAAATTTGTTAAAAAAAGAATATATGTTATTTTTACATAAAAATATGATAAATGTGATTAATAATTTAGTTCAATCTATATATATATATATA